TTTTCCTTCACTTGATTTCTAAATATTTTTCAAATTGTTAATAATTAATTCTAAAAGATAATTGTTCTCAACTAAAATCTTTTTAGCCTTTCTAACTCCTGTTCTTGATGGTTTACGTCCGCTAGACGTAAGCTCCTTATTATCATTGAGTTCATTACGACTAACATAACACCATAATTATGGTCCGAAAATAAAATAAGAAGAAAACCAGCATTTGTGGGTTTCCTATATACATACCTACCCAGTTTCCTCCCTTCCTAAGTAACTAGGACATCTAAAAATGGTAACTTATTGTCCTTTTCTAATTCCATAGTGAATTTCTGTTGCCTTATCTACTCTATTCACTAAACCAAGGAAGTCATCCAAACACTCTTTGCCATGTAACCAGATAATAAAGTAACAACCATGTATCTCAGCAATAGTTTGAGAACTAGGAGTGACTCTTGAAAAAGCCGGACCTCCAAATGAGCCATGTAGTTATTACCCAAAACTGAAGAAGAACACGATCATATAGATAGCCCTACTGTTTGTTCGTATAATTTACCATTAAATATAAATGTGCATGATTGACTCCTTGCTCATTCTATTTTCTGATATTATCTCTGAGTGCAGATCTAAGATTAATCCTAATGCCTGTATGGTCCCACTTATCAGTAAATTCGTGTACAACGATACTTCATCAAAACTTACTAGCAAATCTTCTTGTTCTATTGTTTTTTCGTCTATTAACTTTGAAAAGTCATAAGAATTCTTTATTGAAAGTTTCCAAAAACCTGAGATTTGCTTTAATTTACCACAGAGGAATCGTAATGTTTTGTGCATCACACCACCCTTATTGTTCATGATGCTCCTTAGTGGGACCCCCTCTGTGTGCATTATGGGCAGCCCATAGGCATTACGAGGTTTAGCGTCACGTCGGATAAGTGCCCTTCTTCAATTCTCCATTATTAGCGCATTGTTGCAGACAACTCTTAAGTCTCGACTTTAGTGTCTCTGTATGATCCTTAATTATAATTCTATACGTATCAAAGTCACGTTTAAGCCCACAATATCTTTTCTATATAATCTGTCCTATCAGTAACTACAAGTGCTCCTCCTTTGTCCGCTCTCAAAACTATTTGCTCGTTTAGTCTAAGCTTCTTAGTGATATTATTAACTCACCAATTCTTATTTGCTGGTTCTACATGATTATCATTAGTAAAGCTCTAACTATTTGGCAAAGCATTATTAAGACCTCTATATAGAACTTCCTCAGTAGTACTGTCCAATGATATTAAAGACAGGTTAACCACATTCCGACCTAACTTCATTTTCTATTCTCTTGTGAAGGAATTCCGATCTCTTCAATTGTGGGTACTCCCAGATCTGATTTCTTACCTTTTGGAGTTGCCTTAGTGATTTTGTCAAGAGGGAGTCGTAGGGCTGTGGCTAGCTTTTCAGTGAGACGCCAAGAGCCAGAAAATTCCTGCAGTTCTGCCATAAGCAAAACAATATCCACGTATGGATTAGAGTCGGTTGATTGCTCCAGAGTACTGTAGTCCTCTAATTCCATCCCTTCTGCGGTTATAAAAGAGCAGTCGACTGTATCTTCAGCAAAAGGTAAGACATATATAGAAACAAAAATGGGTATAAGCTAACCTTAGATATACATAATTGATTCAAACAATGAAAATATATTTTTTATTTATTTAGGCGAAGTGTATTATTGCAGGTAACTTATGGTGGAAATTCATCGAAAGGAAAGGAGGATAGAAATCGAGGCGCTAAACCGTTGACCAAAAAGTTAGACTATAAGATGGACAAATTAATATGCAAGAGTATACAGCTATGCTGTTGGTCTTTCCGTCAGATAGCGTGAAAATGTTAAGTCGATTTCGTTAAAATGCCACATTTTTTCTAGGTTGTTATAAGCTAGCCAGTCTGTAACTTCTGGACGCAGTTGTTTGGTTAGCAAGTTGAGCGTTTGCCTATCATGATAGGAATTCGACCCTCATTCTGATCTAAGCACACACATACACAATAGCTAAATCATTGGTCAAGCTAAAAAATAGTCATTTAAATGGCTTAAAATCGACGTAACTGGGCCTCCCAATGATAAGATTCAATAAAGTAAGACGAGAAACACTCAATTTCAATTTTTCCTTAAATTGAGTCAAAAAAGTGGAGCTCAAACAGGAGTGTTACTGTACGACCAGGTTTATGCAAAAATTTGATGTAAATTCCTTACATCAACTCGAATAACTGTAAGCGAATTTACTTTGTTTTACAATACCTTCGAAATCATCTTCGCCACGAAGATTTTCTTATTGCTTAACTTCAAGTTCCTTTCCTTACTGGTCCTTCTGATTCTCGAATTCTTCCCTTCTGAAATCCATACTTTGCTGAATTTTTTAATTCAGAATTTACACTTATTTATTGATCCGCCCTTTTCTAGGATTTTCCCAATAAGATA